ACAATAATAAAACCAAAAGACAAAAAGATTCACAAATGAAGGCTCAAATCCAATCTAAGCTTTTTACGGCTTTCTTTAGTTGTCCAATTTATACGACTCATGGAAGGATCAATTACAGGAATGAAAGATTGTAGTTGGTCAATCAATTGTTCAGCAGTAGCAGTAGAGACTATGATTTGTCGTGCAAAAGATGTTAGAAATTCCTGTTCCACAGCATGATCAAGAAAAGACAACAACTTATCATAATAACCATTAACATTTAACAAACCTATAGGTTTATGGTGAATGTGTAGTGGGCCCAAGAGGAAATATGAAAGATCTCTTCCAATGTGCCTAGACCACCTGGTAAAGCAATGAAGACATCAATATGGTTAAACATTACATTCATTCGAGCTGACATTGTGGAGACCTTAAGTTCCTCTCCAATTGTTTTTCCAATGATGTCCCCTTATGCTAAAGCTTCAAGGACGACCCCCAAAACTTGACTACCTCCTAAAAGTGAACACATGCTTTGTATTTGTTATCTTGTTCACTCTTCAATACTTTGCTTGTTAAATGACGAATCTTGATTTATGTTGTATAATACTTGGTACAATAAATGCTTAGCACTTTGTGTGTGGTTTTCAATTGAATAATAAGAGTTTATACTATACTTGTTTGACATACCATTAGTGGATCCTTTAACCTTCACATTTGTTATTATCATTGTTTAATCCTTACATTAATATTCCATCTCAAAGTTCTCATCATCTTCTTCTTCTTCTCCTTCTTTTTCTTTATTATTTTTGTTGTTGTTGTTGTTATTGTTGTATTATTATTATTTATAATTTGTACAATTAACCTCCATGTGGTTCGACCTCGGTGTTGCCGGGTTATTTATTACTTCGACACTCCTTAACTAGAGCATGTTTTGTAATAACAAGTTTGATAATATAAGATACCTTTAATTTATGGTAAATACTCATTTTAAATGCAGGTATTCTCACAATTTAAAAGATTGATTGTTGTGATTAACTATTGAAAGTGAAAGGACAAAGAAAAGGCTAAGCATAAAAAGAATATGCTAATTCGATTTAAATTTGAATATTATTAAGTCATTGGATCATATATAGAATTATAGATCTTGGATTTCATATTAATTTATATGGATGGAAAGATAAGAAATAAGCATACAACTTTCATAGTATGAAAAGACCCAAATTTGTCATTTTTAAATTCAAAGTTTGGCCATAAAAAGAGAAGTTAAAATCTTTCTTGCAATCCAACCCAGACACTACTCAGTGTTGTACCCATAACTGGAGTTCTAGAAGGCCAAATAATGTAAAATATGGTGGGTGGAAGGAAAAGATAATTTTCAACAACTTGTATAAAGAATAGCTCAAATTCCAATGGTAAAAATGACATTTCATCTAGATAGGAGCATGAGGGCTATCCACCACGTCCACCAGCAACATTACTCAGTATTTTAGATATATCTCGAGTTATAGTGCTCCAAATACCTGAGATTTGGTGGGTGGAAGGAAAAGATAATTTCCAACAACTTTTATATAGAACACTTTGCCAAATTCTGAATGCATTAATGTCAATTCATCCCGCCAAAATGCTTGAGTGCTAGTGTTCACCTAGTCCACTAATCAATAGTTGGCTACTACATCAATTATTAATTACCAAATAAATAGTTCTAAATTTTAGCCTATTAAAGGAGGCATTTTCTATTTATTTAGGCATCTTGTTTTTCATATCAAGATCATATTCTTACTTTCTCTTTTTATATTTTTGTAATGCTTAAGTTTTGCTTTCATTAATCTCTTGTTCATGCTTTTCATTTCCTTTACTATACTTAGTTAACTTATATAAGCTTACGTTTTTCTTCTTCATAATGTCTAGTTATGTTAATTATGTTAAGGTGAAAAGGTTTCACTAATGGTGTTAGGATAAATATAATATAAACTCAATATAAACTTCAATGCTTATATCCTAAACAACTTGCTATTAACATGTCTTATCATTTTTATCTTATTAATTTTTGATACCTTACTTGTTAAATGGTTAATCTATATTTGTATTGTATAACATTTGGTACATCAAATACTTGATCCTTCATAGTCTTCGGTCGATATCGTTATTATGAGAGGAACTTGATTTGTTGTCAATATAAGTTAGCATCATGAATACTTGATAAAATTTATAAGTATGGTGTTACATAAATAAGATGATTAATATGAACATATTGATAATTTATAAAGAATTTATACTTTACTTATCTCTAATACTATTAGTGTATCTTTTAACCTTCATATTTGTTTTTAACATTGTATAATCTTCACATTAATCTTACATCTCAAAGTCCTCTTTAACTCATATTCACCACCATCATTATTGTTGTTGTTGTTGTTGTTGTTCTTATTATTATTATTATTTATAATTTATATAGTTAACTTCCTTGTGATTCGACTCTGGTCTTTCTGAGTTATTTATTACTTTGACACTCCTATACTTGGAATAAGACATTAACTCTTTAATCGTGTCATGTAAGAATAAATATAATGCAAACTCAACATGAACCCTAATGTTTGATACTAATATGTTTTGTATTTGTTATCTTGTTCACTCTTTAATACTTTGTTTGTTAAATGGTTAATCTAGATTTATGTTGTATAACACTTGGTATAATAAATACTTGGCACTTTCATACCCCAGCCATTTGGTATAACCGACACTTGTGCTATGAAAGAAACTTAATTTGTTGTTATCATAAATGCCTGACAATATTTACAAGTAGTAGTATTATTCGAATAAGATAACTGATATAATCATGTTAACAATTTATAATCCAATTGGAACCTCCTTTCTGTGTGGTTTCTAGTTGAATAATAAGAGTTCATACTATACTGGTTTGAAATACCATTAGTAGATCCTCTAACTTGATATTTGTTGTTATCATTGTTTAATCCTCACATTGATCTTTCATATTAAAGTTCTTATCAACTTCTTCTTCTTTTTCTTCTATTATTATTCTTTTTCTTCTTGTTATTATTATGGTTGTATTATTGTTATTTATAATTTATACAATTAACCTTCTTGGGGTTCGACCTTGGTTTTGCTGAGTCATTGATTACTTTGATACTCTTACACTTCGAAGAAGATATCAATCTTTTAGTCATGTCATCATGCACTCGGGTCGTCTCAACATTTTTAAGATAGTATAACAACTAGAAGTTAGGATACATGTCAATTTTCTGGTATCCTAAACCGAAGGGTTTATCATGGACTTTGCAACATAGAAGTTCTCTTTCAGCCTCTTCCCTTCAGGTAAAATATTTCTCACACATTTGATAATCTAGTCATAATCGGCCTCACTCAACCCGTGATCTGACTTGATGATGAACACCTATGCTATGACCCATCATTTACTATGGTTTGTGCAATCATCCCATAATAGTTCGTTAGAATCTTTTAACAAATCAAAAAACCTTGTTACATCTGCATAAGGTTCTTCTTCTACAACTGGACATTCATTGACATTATCTTCATTCATTCTCATTGCATTCATGACCATATTCGGATAAGGATTATTGTTATTATTTGCAACTTCATGCACGTTGCTAACACTAGAAGTTGACCCAACCCCCTTTCCACCATGCTTTTATTATAAACAAATAGCTCTCCATATACATACCAACACAAGTAATCCTCTATGAACCCTTTGGTTAGAAGATGCATCGTTACAATATCTTGATGCAAAAAGTTTTTATTTTTCTACATGGACACCTAATATCACCATCAGTAAAATTCCTCAGAATAAATATTGTGAAATTAATAAAACCTTGAACCCTGTTATAATAATTCATCATCTGCAATCCTTGGGGTGAGTCCCGATACATCCATGAACGATCATCCATGACTTTTATTGAACCTCTATAAAATTATGATGACAACATGTATTAATTAACTATGTTACATAAATAAATTTGCAAAAATATTTGTTTGCCTTGACATTATTCAACAAACTAAAAGAACACTTATGTTAAATATTCATTATCAATGTCCATACAAATTTATACATATATAAATTTACAAAAATCACAACTCTGCAATAAAATTAATAAAAATTAAAACAGACCCATTAAACAAGCTATTATTTATTTCATCACAACACATCTAATTCGGTGTAATTCAAACAGAGTTTCAATAATTGACAAACAAATACAATTTGACAAAATTTAAAATAAACTATAATAACTATAAAATTACACATTCATACTACAAATCTCCTTAACAAATAATAATAAGCAAACAAGTACATACATTAACAAAATACTTATACTAAAAAAATAAAAAATAATAAAATTGACATTTAAATGTTAAAACTAAAAATAATAGATTTACTTACAAAAAATTATAAAATCCACAATAAATTGCTCGAAAAGTGGATGTTGTGACCATGTATAAAAGTATAAGAAACTTGAGTGCTTGTGTTGAGAAGAGGGAGAGAGTTGGGATGGGGAAAAAGAAGAAATAGAAACAGACAAAGTTAGAAGAGTAGGTATATATTTGCTTTTATTGATGGAATTACTAACGAAAAAGTTATGTTAGTATACCCATTGGTGACTGTGCCACGTCACTGTATGAAGATCTCGATTTGAATCCTTCAGTCATTTTCTTAATAAAATCATCTGAAAAAAATTCATATCATCATATTATTGCAACTTTTTGAAAATTTGTATAATTCATCGGCAATATGGTCGATATATACTGACAAAATATATCCGTCCGAGAATATCGTAGATGGAAATGGATTATTGGTATATATCCACAAAATTAAAGATGAAATTATTTTTGTTAGTAAAAATTATTGACAAAAAAATTTTATCAGTAATTTTATTGGTTTTTATCAATTTTCTGTGGTGTTTTCTTGGTTTAATTTCATGATCTTGGTGCTTTTCAGTCATCCGACTAGGTATTTGGTACCATAATTTTCTTCAATAAGAGTGATATTCTTGAAGCATGTCTATCAAATTTCTGTGTTAACTCTTAGGTCTTTCATAGATGAGATGCGGAGGAAAAAATGTCGTCGAAGGCGTAAGTTCATTCTTTTTTATTAGATAGAGAATTTCTCTCTTCTAATTATAATACTGGCTGAGTTTCTTATGGTAAATAATCATGTTTGTACTGAAAAATAAGTTTTCTTGCAGATAATTCCTTGTTTATCAAGTTTTAATCTTAGTCCATCTGAGGATTGGGATTAAAGCTATGCTGGGGACTACCTCTGGGCAACAGTCAATGCCAGTACTACTTCAGTAAGGAACTTGACATGTCAAGTTACTAGCTCTAATTAAGGCAACCATAGATAACAACTTTCGCCTTGCTCCCGTCTCTCTAACGTATTATGGCCTCTGCTTGCGTAAAGGCAAGTAGATTGTGACACTACATTTTGCTGAAGCATTATATTCTAAGAGTGAAGATTACAGCACATCAGGAAAACGAGTGCTTGATCTATATATTCAGGTAAGTATTTCGCTTGTCCAGAAAACTAATTTACGTGCTCATGAGACACTCTTAAGGAGTCTTGGTTGTAGGGACGGAAAGAAATGGAAGATGCCAACATAAAGGAAATCCATGGAAAAGAACATGAAGAAAGACGACTACAATTCAAGGTTAAAATAAATGATGGTTCGTTAGAGATCAAGTTCTTCTGGGCTGGAAAGGGATCTCTATACAACCCACCTGGTCTCAATGGAACTCTCATATCAGCTGTTTCGATCACTCGTGGTAGGAAGCGCAAACTTCAATACTTCTCATCTTGTCTGCTAAAAAACCCAGGATTCTGTTGCTCACTTCACTATCTGTGTGAGAATGGCTGACAACCATTGTTTTCTATATGTTCCCAGAAAACAACACGGTTGGGAAATTGCGTTGATTGCAGTAGGTTGTGTTTTGTTTCTGCTGCTGTTGTTGGCCTTCATGTGGAGAATGGGCTGGATGGGAGACACAGAATTGCGAGGTAAACACGAAGTGAAGAAAATCTATGAACATAATTTGTTCTCTGTCTTAATAATTCTTAAATAATTGGTTTGATCCACTAACTCGTGTTATTGGAATATATAGAAACCACAGTGAAGATTGGAGAAAGAACTTTCACCCTTGGGCAGATCATTGATGCAACAAAAAAATTTAGTCCCAAGATGGGATCATGGTAGCGGACGTTCAGGGATAGTATACAAGGTAAAGCAAATTTCTTGTTCCTTAATTTTTGTCTTTTAAGGGATAACTTTTATGTTCTTTAACCTTTCTTCACTTTGATTTGGCATAACTGCAAGCTCAATTGCCAGATCTGACTGTAGCAGTGAGGAAGCTATTCGCTCAATCAAATGCAGTCGATGAAATAGCAACTGAAGTTTATGTCAAGAAATAAAGCCAACGACTTGAAACACGACAACATTGTTAAATTGTTTTATATTTATTCAAGAAGCCATCTACATTTACTCATCTACGAATTTATGGAAGGTGGCTCCCTCGGACAAGTTTTATTTGGTAATTCCTTTATCTCTCAGTATCGATCCATTTTTGGCATTTACAAATATTGCTAACCATAGATGTTGCTTCTAATTTGGCAAATATGAACAGTAAATATACTAGAAAAGATAAAAAAAAATATTTATACACAAAGTCATGGTCCATTAAGAAAAACTTTTGACACTTTTGAGTTAAAGAATAATGTTTTTTTAAATAAGTATTAATTACACGTCCAGATGATATACTGATTGAATGAGAAGTTTTATGGTACTAGGAGAGCATCTAGTAACATTTTATAGTTTTTTTCCAAGACTTTCTTTTAAAAAAATAGATACAAGAAGCAGGTGAATATATTTATCATTTTTAATGAATTATGAATTTTATTTTTTTTATTTTTTTGTGTTTTTCTTATTTTTCAAAGTGAATCCAAAAAAATAATCAATAAAATATCACATTTAAATGACTTTAAAATGGATGGTATGTTAATTTTTATAGTTTATATGGTTTTATGTTCACCTTTCATTCTCAATATACAACATTATACCGTGCTTGTACTTAGAATGGGGTTTATTTGAGATTGTAATAATAATAATGTTTGAATATATTTTTTATTTAGAAATGTATTAAAATAATATTTTTTATTTTTTAAAAATAATTTTTCATATTAATACATTAAAATAATTTGAAAACGTAAAAAAATATTTTGAATAAAAATAATTTAAATTTTTTGGAATGCAGTTATTCCAAACAGGGCTCTATCTCTAAATCTTTAGAATTTTCAATGAATAGTTTGATCTTTCATACCCTACACTTACATATTAAACGTGATAGTTGAGTTGAGTTCTAATGAAGGACTAATTAAACCTTATGGTGATCCTTAGCCAACCATTTTTTCACAACTAGAACGTGGCAGACTGCTGACTATTGACTTGGGGATTTACGGGTACACATTCCACAGTGCGAATAGATTGGCCGAAAAGTATAATCTGCAAGGGAATAGCGTAGGGTTTGAGGTATCTTCATGAAAGGAATCCTCAAATAATACACAGAAACATAAAAGCCAATAATATTCTGCTCCATGAAGGGAATAGCTTTTCATTATTATTATTTTTTCTTATTTAACTTAGGAATTTTATTTTTTCTTACCGAGTTTAGGCTTAAGAATAGAATTAATAGGATTGCATAGGTTGTATTTGTACAACAACTTGGATAAATTAAATTATATATTTTGAATATCTCCACGTAGTTACGATTTGTTATTATTTGATCTATCATTTCAATGCCTTTTCAGTTCATGCATGTCACCAGAGCATGCAATCCGGAGAAACATGACAGCGAAAGCCGATGTCTACAGTTTTGGGATCCTTCTCCTTGAAATCGTTAGTGGAAGAAATAATGCCGAGTACAGAGAAAAGGAAGAAACTGCTGTTCTCCTAGATACGGTGAGAGCCGGATTATTGTTTTACTTAATTAATTTTTCTTAGTTAAAATATGATCAGAGGGGATTGATTAACAATTTTTAGTTTTTTTTGTACATTAAAATTGTATAGTTATGACATTCCTTTTGGGCATATTTCTTATAAATTCAAACAATTTCAGGCCGCTAATTTACGTGAGCAGGGAACGCTAGGAGAATTGGTTGACTAAAGGTTGCGCCATTATGACCTGGACCAAATTGATAAGTTACTAGTCGAGAGTGATACATAATTGCAAGACTGCTAGAATTCTTTTAGGGTGAGAACTTACCACAATAGTATTTGGATAAAAATGATACCCCTTTTATTCTTCTTTATACATATAAATAACTAAACCATAACAACTTTCAGCAAATCCTACCAAAATAAAAATAATAAATTACAAAACAAAAATACAAATAATGTAAAAGTAGTTGCTTTATTTTCTCCCGCTGAATCGGAAGCATGATTCTAGTTGACTTGCATATAACTTCTTTTAATCACAATATTTTAAATTCTTCTTTATGACAAGTTGGGTTCTTCGTGGCGTATCACAAACGAACATTGTTCTGAAATTGGCAATGAAGTGCACCGATCAATCACCTTCTCTCAAGTTGTGGATGTACTTGAAGGCGAAAAAAACCCTCGAGGATATTTCTGAAGAGATCGTTACCTCGATCTCTCCTACTTGAGTACCGGATGGTCAATATATATATCTCGTGTGTTTTGCCATGTTTCCATATCTATTGATTCTTTTTTTTTTCATCGGTTTGTTTCCCTTCCTCCTTGTGATTTAAATCTTCCTAGTAAATATTGAAGGAAAAACATGTACTGGTTCTTAAGAATTATGGCCCCGGAAATTGGAGACCTAGCTCGTTGATATCATGTGATCATATCTATATATATTGTTTCATGTTTTCAATTATAATTACCACCTTATTTATGTTTTGCTTTCGTCTTAGCAGCAGCAGTCTTCTTGCACTTGCGTATCCGAAAGGAGTACTTAAAAATCAGTGGCTCTTAGTTTCCAGTTTACATCAATCAAGTCTCGAAACTTAACTTGAGTCTTGGGAGACACTAGTAATTACACACGTTTGGTTAGCAGACATACCTTTTCCGTTGTATTAATTTCTATCATTTACCCATTAGTCTAATTCTCACAATAATAGATCAAAGGGAGGTTTCTGTACGGAGTGCTCTCACATATTCTTCATTGAGTGATACATCAAAAATAAATGCTTTCTTTATGAGAAAATAGTGATTTTACCATGACAATGCTTTGGTGAAGAAAAATATAGGAAAGTGAAGGTATATATATCATTAATAATTATAATCTTTTTGACGCGGGAGGCCATCACGGGATGGTTTCAGTGAATCCAGTGAGGACTTTAGGAAAGTGAAGGTATATATCATAAATAATTATTTTTAATGCACTGTTTATTTTTGAAAAAATTTAAATTTTTTTATTTTTTTATTAACTTCAAATTAATATATTTTTAGTATTTTAAAATAATTTTAATATACTAATGTCAAAAATAATTTTAAAAAAATAAAAAAAATCATTGACATGGATTTTAGTACAAAAAACTATTTAAAAAATAACCGCAACCACACTTCCAAACAAGTCTTATAATTAAAAATAAAATGTGTTTTATTTTGATATAAGTACTTTTAAAAAAATAAAATGTTAGTCTATTTAAATTAAAGGAAAAGTAAAATTTTATGTGAAATTAATAGAGCGCTAATCTAATTCTTCGAAGATAAACTGTATATTGTTCTACTTCCAAAAATTTCATAGCCAAGACTTTCCATGTGAGAATAGCATAAATAATATATTCTGAATACAAAATGGTTGAGCTATTACAAGGTTTTCAAAGCAGAATTACCTGAACAAAGACTTGACCATAAATTTTAAAGATGCATTTTTACTCCTCAATGTTCACTTTCCGATTGGACCCAAGAAATGTAGGGTAAGCTATCTGCTTTTGGCCTTATTCATACTGATGCCTTAGCTTTACTAATCTTTCTCTTCTCGACAGTGCAAAAGATCGAAAGCAGAAGATGATGAACATGAACAAAGACTTGACCATAAATTTTAATGATGCATTACTACTTCAGACTCCATGGTTCCAATCATTTAATTATTATAGTTATTTTTTTAATATTAAAAAATCAATTCAATCAAAATATTTAATACAAAAGAAAATTAAATTAAATGTTCACTTAAAAAGATGTATTATCTAATAATATAAAATTAAATCTTCCTAGTAAATATTGAAGGAAAAAATGTGCCTGATATCTATATATATTGTTTCATGTTTTCAATTATAACCACCACCTTAATTATTTATGTTTTTAATTAATAACACAAAGTAATATAAATATGTAAAAGTATCGAACACATAAGACTTTTATTTAAGGAAATTTTTTTCAAAAATAATATAAATTATATTTTGAATTTTATTTAAAATTTTAAATTTTTAAAATGAGATGATTCTTTGAAAACTTATCTTTATTAACTTTGTAGATTCATTATAAAAAATTATATATAAATTTGTTTCATTAATTGTTTATATATATATATATATATATATATATATATATATGAAAGCTTAGTCACTTATTTAATTTTTAAAGATTATTTAAATTATGATGTTATACAAACATAGCCTAAGGGTTCAGTATTGAAAATGTATGAAAAAATAAATCATGTTTAATTAATAAAATATTATTAGAATCTTGTTTTAATTACAAATTATATTTTCTCAATGTAAATTAAACTTGATAAAAATTTTAATACTTTAAAATAAAAAAATGAAGATAAATTTTAATATCAATTAAAGTGAATAAACCTTTCTAAACCATTGGAATAATCTAAATATGATTTTAGCATT